TTTTTTTATTTATTTTTTTCAATCTCAGGGGCTAATGTCATAATTTGTTAATATTGATGGGGCTGGTACCCTCTTAGGAATTACAGCTTTCTCCTTCATATGTTAAGACAAGCAAGTTGGATCATACAGTTAATTCAATATTCCTTTCTGGACATACAGTTATAGTACTTTGTTTATATGTTCTTTTTCCAAGAGAAGTTTCAATTGCTAGATATTGTAACTATCTTGTGGTTCTTTTCCATAGCTGGTCCTAAAAATGATGATACAATGTAACAAAGGAAATTGAACTCAACTGGTTCTTGGAGCCATGATTCAGGATAATCTTTGATATTGTTTGCACTAGGTTTAATAAAAGAAATTATAAAATTCTTCTATGGAATTTGAAAAATGAGCTGAACACATGTTAGATTGAAGGAAGAACAATAGAGAGACAGACGAGTTATGTCTTATTCTAATTTGGGAAATTCTATAATACACACCCCATTTTGGGGTGTGTAACATATGCCTATGGATCAATAGTGGTATTGGTTATGACCTATTGTGATTGTTATTTTGGTGGTGATCGAAAAGGTCTTGGTTATCCATATTTGGTTATAACCAATTCTTTTATTTTTTTAATTATAATTAAAAGTGATTTAGCTATATAACACTACAAATTATCGTATCTTGCATATAATACATAGTTATTTAATTATTGAACAATTACGGATGCTCATTTTGATTTTTAGATTGGATCCTTTAGAATTTTACTTTTTTGGCAGTTTTTAAACCAGAAGAACCTAATAAATAAATAAATGGTCAAAATTTAAAAAGATAGAGAAAAAAAAAATAGAAAGAAAAACGACTACAACCTAGGCAAAGAAACCCATTTGTCCACTCTCTAAAATAAATTAAGAAAGAGACAGCAGTAGTTCCAAAAGGAATAAAGTAGCCTTTTGAAAAGGGCAAAAAAAAAAAAAAAGACTATAAAATAAAACATATTGCAAGTGATAAAATATCGAATGATTATGAAGAAAAGCAAAAGAAGAAGACAAAACATAGAATTAAAATATTATAAAGTAATTTGATCTATAATATTATTGATAAAAAGTGTATGTATTTATACATATGATAATAGATCTGAGCCCAAAGGAGCCTGATTCAATCTTGCCTATTTCTCACGGGTGCCACGCCAGCCGGGGTTTTTCCAGGGAAAGGGGATGAAGCTTCATAGAAGGATGAGGTGGTGAGGGGTACAAGTTGTTGGACCATCTTCAATTATTGTCTCTCTCACCAAAGCAATCATACATATTTTGAATATATAAAAAAAAATAAAAATCAAAAACAAGAAATTTGATATTAAAAAAACGAAATATCCTGCAAAAGGGAAATAAAATAAAATAAAACTTCCTTAAAATCAAGTGATTTGAACATTAGTTAATATTAAAATTTACATTATTTTTTATAAAAAATAGTGAAAATATTAAAAATCAATGAGCAGTGTTTTGAGATTGCTAAACAACATCTTGTATTTTTTTATTTTATATATATATTTTTTTGTATCTGGAGAATACTAATTAATAAGACCCTTGTTTTATGGCCTCAAGCAAATGGTAAGTTATTTAAAGTGGGTTTTTTTTGGCTATTTTAACCACAAAAGATAAAATAGACTATTTTAGACACAAAAAATAAAACATCATATACAACCCATAATCATTACACTATTCTCTCACTCAAAAAGTCAAAAAAATCAAAAAGCCAAAAAGTCCTTCTCAAACCAAGCTTTTTAGCCCGGGCTAAAATAGCCAAAAAGTCAAAAAGTCAACTCACTTCCCAAACGGAGACTTAGTAGTATTTGGACATAGAGATGTGAAATCTTACTGTCGTGCTACATGTATAAAGTAGTATATCAATTAGTATATCAGTATATGCTATGATATTATTATTTTAAATTATGACTCCACTTATTATACAAATTATAAATAATTATAACCTCTAAAATTATGTTATATCATTTATTATACCTATAGAATTATTCATTGTGATTAAAGAAAATGATAGGACTTATAATTATGTGTTGGGACATGAAAAACGACAGAGGTATAGTCATTGATGGGTAGCATAAGGGCACCAAATAATTATGGCCGAAGAAATAATAATTCAATGTAAGTTTGATTTTTTTTTTTAAATTAATGGTAAATTTTATAAACGTCAATTATTAAAATGTTAATTTTTTTTTCATGAAGAATCATTTGGGATTGACATTTTTGTTAAATATTTTATATTTTTAAGTGAATTTTTTTATAAAAAAAATTGAAAATATTATAGAATTCACTTGACTAGACAAACGAGAACTAAAAAAATAAATAAATAAATAAATTTGAAAATAATTTCTGATTTTTTTTTTCCTTTAATGGACATTTTTGAATTTTTTGAAAAAAATAATTTTAAATTCTTCTATGCTAGACCACTGGGGAAAAAAAAAAGGTTTATTTTATGCTTTTTTCAATTAGATTTGAATATCGAACCGGGCTTAAATCCATAATTATTTTAAGAAAATTTCAATGAATACTTTATTGGGAAAATTGGGAGATAAAAAAAATAACAAAATTATGAAAAATTTAAAAGTTCAATTATAAAAATTAATAAATTTTATCACTAATTTAAAATTTATTTTGAAACCTGCATTGAATTGTAATTTTCCCTTGTTTGTTTCTTTATTTATTTGAGTAGAACCAACGAGGTCTCACGTGAGTAGTAAATAAAGGGAAGAATTACATTCAACTGAGACACACAATTTTTTTACATAATTATAGAGCAATGCAAGTCATATTTGTACTTTCACAACATTTTACTTATATTTTATTACAAAAATACTTACACCTCACATATTTTTATAAGTTTTTTTCTCTATCTCACAATATTATAATTTTTCCTAAATTTACTTATACCTTACATATTTTTATAAATTTTTTTCTCTATCCCACAATATTATAGTTTTTCCTAAATAAAATCCGTCACAGTTACCATCACTATCTCCGTAATTTCCCATCTCGTGAAAACGCGGGTCACTCCTCTTCCCTCCATCCCATCCAACCAAGTAAGTTATTAATTGATTGATTAATTGAGGAAGGCAGT